AAATTAATTAAGACCTGGAATGCGTTTGTGTTACTTACGAAGACACGACGCCATTTTGTGTTCTTATTACCTGCCATTTTGTGTGCTTCGATTTAGCTGAATTTCCTTCTTCGCTAATCGCTATTTGACTTTGCGAGTAAACACTGCGGGATCGTAAATGTTCCACAATTGGTTTTTCTTTTCTTTGTTTAGAAACATTAGTAAGGAAGCTCTTCCTGGTTCGAACTTAACGTTAGATAAATTTTATTGTTTTTATTGATGTGATTTATTAGAAAAAAAACTTCTGCTGGTTTTCTTGCTCGTTCTTCCAAGGTCAGAAGATTTTTTTCCGAGCAGTGGTAAATTAAATATAAGAGTGACTTTCAATAACTATTATTTATAATCAATATTGAATAAAAAGCTTTTGTTTCTGTTTTAGTTACAAATAAAATAACATACATAATAGTCATCATCATCATCATAATCATTACAGCCCTTCACAAGTCCACTGCTGAACATAGGCCTCCCCCAAAGAATGCCACAAAGCACGGTCCTGAGCCACCTGCATCCATCGACTTCCTGCATATCTTACCAGGTCGTCACTCCATCTAGTGGGGGGACGCCCTACACTTCGCCTGCCGGTACGAGGCTGCCACTCGAGAACCTTTCTTCCCCATCGGTTGTCGGTTCTTCGAGCTATATGGCCGGCCCATTGCCACTTCAGCTTACTAATCCGTTGGGCTATGTCGGTCACTCTAGTTCTACTGCGGATATCCTCATTTCTGAGTTTATCACGCAGAGAAACTCCGAGCATAGCCCTCTCCATAGCTCGCTGAGCGACCTTGAGCTTCCTCATCCGGCCAGCAGTGAAGGACCACGTCTCAGTTCCGTATGTCATCACTGGCAACACGCACTGGGTGTACAGTCTCGTTTTCAAGTTTTGAGGTATACCTGACGAGAAGATGTGCTGTAATTTCCCGAACGCTGCCCAACCGAGTTGAATCCGTCGATTGACCTCTCGGTCGAAGTTGGACTTACCTAGTCGGACTATTTGTCCCAGGTAAACATACTCGTCAACAACTTCGAGCTTAGTGTTACCAACAACTACCGGCATAGGTGTGACATGGACATTAAACATGATCTTTGTTTTGTCCATGTTCATCTTAAGACCTATCCGTTGGGAAACACTATTGAGGTCATTGAGCATAGTGCTTAGGTCCTCCAGCGATTCTGCCATAAGGACTATATCGTCGGCAAATCGAAGGTGAGTGATGTACTCGCCATTGATGTTGATACCGTATCCTTTCCAGTCCAGAAGCTTGAAAACATCTTCCAATGCAGCGGTAAAGAGTTTCGGGGATATGACGTCACCCTGTTTACACCTCTCTGCAATTGGATAGGTTTCGTACTCTGGTTCTGTACTCGGATAGCCATCGTAGCCCTACTGTACAAGCACTTCAACACTTCGATATACCGACAGTCAACTTGGCATCGCTGAAGGGACTGCAGCACCGCCCAAATTTCGACGGAATCAAAGGCTTTCTCATAGTCCACATACGCCAGACATAGTGGCAAATTGTACTCCTCGGACTTCTGTACAATTTGCCGAAGGGTATGTATGTGGTCTATGGTGCTAAAGCCTTTTCGGAAACCGGCTTGTTCGGGAGGCTGGAAGTCGTCAAGTCTGCGCGCGAGACGATTCGTAATAACTCTCGAAAACAGCACGTAGACGCGGCTCAGAAGGGAAATCGGTCTGTAGTTCTTCAAGAGAGCGTTGTCGCCTTTCTTGAAGAACAAGACCACCGCACTTCTGCTCCACGCCTCCGGTGTAATGCCACCATGGAGGACGGAATTAAAGAGCTTCTGAAGGACTTCAAGTACCGGTTTTCCACCCGCTTTCAGAAGCTCCGCTGTAATTCCATCCTCGCCTGGGACCTTGCCGTTTTTAAGGTGCTGGAGAGCCATTCTAATCTCGCTCAGACTGACGTCCGGGATATCATCGGAATAATGTCGGATAAGACTCGCTCTTGGATCGTTACTCACACTTGCGTGCGGCTCCAACGATGACGTGTACAGCTGCCCATAGAACCTCTCAATCTCACTTAAAATCTCAGGTGCCCCGGAAACGATGCTGCCACATTCTGTCTTCAGCTTTGACAGTTGGCGCTTTCTGGCAGACAGATCTCTGGCAAAGACTTTGGAGCCTCGGTTCCGCTCGATCGCTTCTTCAATACGAGCTGTATTGAATTTGCGTAAGTCCCGCCGCATGCATTTGGAGATCTGTCTGTTCAGTTGCCTGTATGCTGTTAAATCTGTTGAAGAATGTAGCTTCATCTCCCGTCTAACAGTCATGAGATTAAGAGTGTGATCGGAGAGTTTTTGTGTTCTTCTGCGGCGGGTCTTGCAGAACTTTGCTCCGACCGCATGGACAGTTTCCACGAGCTTGTCATTCAAATCGTCCACTTCATTGCAGTCTCCTAGGCACTGAAAACGGTTTTGTAACTCGAGCTGAAAGGTTTCGGGACTTTGGATTAGAGCACGAGGGGGACGGAGCGTTGACTTCATTAGACGAGACCTCTCCAACTTAACGTTTAGGTTTAGTGTGCCTCTAACCATTCGGTGATCGCTGCCGGTTTTCACCCTCGCGATCACTGAGACATCACTGAATAGTTGTCGTCTGGTCGTCATAATGAAGTCAATCTCATTTTTTGTCGAACCGTCGGGGCTCGACCAGGTCCACTTCCTGTGGGGCCGCTTCTGGAAGAAAGAGTTCATCATAAAGAGTCCCTCTTTCTCCATGAAGTCGGCCAGCTGCTGGCCCCTTGGGTTCCGTTGCCCTATTCCGAATTTCCCTACTTTCAGCTCACCGTTCTCTCTTGTGCCTAGTTTTGCATTGAAGTCTCCCATTAACACCGTATATTGGGTTTTGGAGGAATGCATGGCTCTAGAGATATCCTCATACATTTCCTCCACCTCCTGATCGGGGTGTGCCGAGGTTGGTGCGTAAACCTGTATGACCTTCAGCGAATACCGTTTGGTGATTCTGAGTATAAGGTACGCAACCCTCGTCGACACACTCTCAATCTTTACAACGTTGTTAACGAGAGACTTGTGGACGATAAATCCGACACCTCCTTGGGACAGATGGTCGCCATACATAATAGTAAAACAAAATAAATCAGTATTTATGACCGCCATATAACAACAGCTTTAATATTTTCAAATTCAATATGTGTCTTATGTGGTAATTCTGTTTCTGATAAAAATAGTTTTCTTCTATTGTTAGAAGTGGTTTACCATTGTAGTTTAGCTCGTTTAGCATGTGGATTCGCTAGACCGGGGAAGGACCATACTCTCATAGAATACTAGCGTAAAATAGCAGCTTAATGCCGCTGTGTATCGTATGGCGAGTGTAGTGAATTGGAGACCATTTTTATGGGAAACGAGGCATTCCATCTTAGTCCCCAAAGGTGACAACGCATCTGCATTTTGGTTCTTAATTGAGGATAAAAATGTAGATGTCTATGGGCCACAGCATCCACTTAGCATCAGGTGTGCCCGTTTATCACCCTTATTCTATAAAAAAGAATACCATGTTTTCCTACACTTTGTTCAGTAGTATATATATGAAATATCAATAAACGTCAAGCAATACGTGGGTGTTTCAAATATCTCTACACATTTCATATTCTTAATACAGTAACCTCACGTTTTGTATCCAGAAGTTTTAGATATCCAGTCCTTAAGTACAAGTAGTGCGAGATGAACCTCGTCATTATTAATAAGGTATAAGGTACGGTCGTTCCTTTATATTGGACGCTCTTGGAATGAACGAGGCTTACGAAAAAGTTATTTTCCTTTCAAGCAAGCTATGATTAGATCAGTTGATATTAAATTATGAAAGTCTTCAAAGATATTTGAGCAAGGAATACCGTTTAGTGAAAAGAAATAAGAACATTTGTGACTAATTGGATTTTTATGTACGGCAAGGCTATTTTGGTGACAGGTACAGTTATTCTTTTTTGTTATTATATCTTTTGTAAAGAATAAGGAATACTCTTATATTTATTACAAAGTAAAGTAAAGTACCCTGTATACGTCCCACTGCTGGGCACAGACCTCTCATTTCTGAAAGAGTTTTTAGGGCAAGTGTGTCCGCCGCGCTGCCTCAGAGCATGTTGGCGAACTTCACACGTCTTCGAAATATTTTTTTTCTTATTTATCAGACACGCAAGTTTCCTCACGATGTTTTCCTACACAGCCGGGCACGTGGTAAATCAGCACTTAAAATTGCAATTAACAATTTCATTGGTTCCAACGGGGATCGAAACTGGGCTGCTCGCGTACTGTGACATTAACAGGGAGTGCTAACCATCTGAGCTACCACGGTTATTAGAACACTTCAATATTTCCTTTCAAGTAATTGAAATTAATTGGCGGTGTAGTCAGGACGTAAGAGAATCTGCTACCTTCAATAATTAAGTTAAATTTTAGTTAACACAAGAGGCGACAAAATGAAACTAACCAGAGGGTAGCAACGTCTTAAATTTAATTACTATTTTAAATTTAAATAAAATAAGGTTCGAATAAGTCACATACATTTTATTATCACATTTATTAGAGCCTATTGAAGTCTACCGTTGAATATAACCCACACGAAACACAAGTTTCGCTTGTGGCGCAACGGCAGCGCCGCCACAGTGGATATTCTTCCACCGTCAATACACGTGTGATTTTATGGATCAACTCCTAGAGAAATAACGCTGTTGCTCATTAGCTCCGTTTATTTGTACAAAATACAATAAAATACTCGGACAACAAGTAATCTTAAAAAAAAAAAACACGTAAACAGAACGAGCTCACAATCTCACATATGCAAATCGACTTCATCCTACCAAATTTTTATTTTCATACTGGTCGAGAGTCCATACCTTGCCATATACAAATCGACATAAATATTAAAGAATTTAAAATACAAACATTAAAAAAAAACTTACATAATGCCGCGACGTCTACAACACGGTCATCGAATTAAGTTCATGATGGAATAAGTTACATACCTGAATGTTATTATCTTCAGCTATCAACTTTTGTGTGCCGTTGTACCACTCGATACGGGCCGCTGGTCTGGCGCCGGACACCGCGCACATCAGTGTCAGCAGTGTGCCTTGTGTTGCGTGCTCTCCGACGCCCGTTATTGAGATCTTGTTCGGTGGCACTGGAAAAAATTACATCAGATATAATTTAAATTCATGATTCATCATTATAACCCTACAAAAGTCCACTGCTAAGCAAAGGCCTCCACCAAGGAATGCCATAAAGCTGCTGCCATAAGCCTGCGTGTCTTACAAGGTCGTCACTCCATCTAGTAGGAGGACACTCTAGACTTCGTCTACCAGTACGAGGCTACCCTCGAGATTCTTTCTTCCCCATCGGTTGTCGGTTCTTCGAATACTTTAAATTAGTATTAATTTATTAACTAAAATAAGAGATCACCCGTGTCATTAAATGAGATTTTTTTTAAAATAATATCAATGCTATTAAACATTACTAATATTCCCTTAAAACACTACTGGTAAGCTTAAAAGTTTGTTAGGAATGGTTCACGACTGTATTCGAATCGCGCATTCGAAACCCACGATAGTTCAAGGTTTGCATCTTGACATTAAGCTACTGTACTTTCATTTAACAGACAGAAATTTCTTCGAGACGACTCAAAAGAGAAATAAATAACATAGAAACTTTCACGCTGTTACTCATTGAGTTATATGTACTACGTACTAGAGAAGCCATTCCAAACAAAAATTACGTCCTACTATATGTCAGCGTCAGAACTCTCGAAAGATTCCACGCAGGATCCTCAAATGCTGTATACAACATCGTATCAGGTGACGAATCCTGGATATACGCGTACGAACCCGAAACAAAAAACCAGTCACGAGTTTCGGTGTTCGAAAATGAGTTAAAGCTAACAAAAATTGTTCGTTCACGGAGTGTTGCAAAAAAAAAAATGGTGGCCACGTTTGTCTCCAAAACCGGTCATGTTACGACTATTCCTCTTGAGGGACAAAGAACGGTAATGCAGAATGGTATGCTAGCATTTGTTTGCCACAGGTCGTTTCTGAACTCCGTAAAGAGAACTGCAACCGCCGCATCATCCTCCATCACGACAATGCGAGTTCTTACACCGCACACAGAACAAAAGAGTTTTTAGAGCAAGAAAATATAGAATTATTAGACCATCCGCCGTACAGCCTCGACCTAAGCCCTAATGATTTCTATACTTTCCCTAAAATTAAGAATAAATTGCGTGGACAGAGATTTTCATCACCTGAAGAAGCTGTGGACGCCTACAAAACGGCCATTTTGGAGACCCCAACTTCCGAATGGAATGGTTGTATTATATAAGAACTTTATAACCATTTAGTTATAAGTTTTGAAAATTTAAGCGAGAATGGTGGCTAACAAATTTCAAATCGTTATAGTTCCTAAATGGTCATCCAATTTGATAAATAACTAGAGAAACCTAAATATGATTTTCGAAGACCTAATCAATGATATCCAACGTGACATAGTTGGTCGACTTTCATTTTTTTTCTTTTAAGCAATATGGTGTCTGGTTGTCGCCATATTTAATTTTGATTAATCTCATGTATAGTGACACTCATAAGATTAAGACAAATCGATTGACTTAAGAATCATCAAAATCGGCACATATGTTTGGTCTCTAGAGCGCTACAAAGGAACAAACCTATGTACATACATACATACATATATAGGCTGATAAAGACATAACCTTCCGCAATTGGGTAAATGTGAGGCAGACGCATGCAGTTTTAAATTAGACGATCTCTTCTTTAAAAAGAACTGACAGTCCTCCTTTAATACAAAAAATGAAAAAAACATACATAAATATAAAAAATAACAAACATAAATCATTATCATACTGAATTTTACACGTCATCATCATCATCATTACAGCCCTTCACAAGTCCACTGCTGAACATAGGCCTCCCCCAAAGAATGCCACAAAGCACGGTCCTGAGCCACCTGCATCCATCGACTTCCTGCATGTCTTACCAGGTCATCACTCCATCTCGTGGGGGGACGCCCTACACTTCGCCTACCGGTACGAGGCTGCCACTCGAGAACCTTTCTTCCCCATCGGTTGTCGGTTCTTCGAGCTATATGGCCGGCCCACTGCCACTTCAGCTTACTAATCCGTTGGGCTATGTCGGTCACTCTGGTTCTACTGCGGATATCCTCATTCCTAAGTTTATCACGCAGAGAAACTCCGAGCATAGCCCTCTCCATAGCTCGCTGAGCGACCTTGAGCTTCCTCATACGGCCAGCAGTGAAGGACCACGTCTCAGTTCCGTAAGTCATCACTGGCAACACGCACTGGTTGTACAATTTCGTTTTAAGGTTTTGAGGTATGTCTGACGAGAAGATGTGTCGTAGCTTCCCGAACGCTGCCCAGCCGAGTTGAATCCGTCGATTGACCTCTCGGTCGAAGTTGGACTTACCTAGTCGGACTATTTGTCCCAGGTAAACATACTCGTCAACAACTTCGAGCTTAGTGCTCCCAACAACTACCGGCATAGGTGTGACATGGACATTAAACATGATCTTTGTTTTGTCCATGTTCATCTTAAGACCTATCCGTTGGGAAACACTATCGAGGTCATTGAGCATAGTGCTTAGGTCCTCCAGCGATTCTGCCATAAGGACTATATCGTCGGCAAATCGAAGGTGAGTGATGTACTCGCCATTGATGTTGATACCGTATCCTTTCCAGTCCAGAAGCTTGAAAACGTCTTCCAATGTAGCGGTGAAGAGTTTCGGGGATATGACGTCACCCTGTCTTACACCTCTCTGCAATTGGATAGGTTTCGTATTCTGGTTCTGTACTCGGATAGCCATCGTAGCCCTACTGTACAAGCACTTCAACACTTCGATATACCGACAGTCAACTTGGCATCGCTGAAGGGACTGCAGCACCGCCCAAATTTCGACGGAATCAAAGGCTTTCTCATAGTCCACATACGCCAGACATAGTGGCAAATTGTACTCTTCGGACTTCTGTACAACTTGCCGAAGGGTATGTATGTGGTCTATGGTGCTAAAGCCCTTTCGGAAACCGGCTTGTTCGGGAGGCTGGAAGTCGTCAAGTCTGCGCGCGAGACGATTCGTAATGACTCTCGAAAACAGCACGTAGACGCGGCTCAGAAGGGAAATCGGTCTGTAGTTCTTCAAGAGAGCGTTGTCACCTTTCTTGAAGAACAAGACCACCGCACTTCTGCTCCACGCCTCCGGTGTAATGCCACCATGGAGGACAGAATTAAAGAGCTTCTGAAGGACTTCAAGTACCGGTCTTCCACCCGCTTTCAGAAGCTCCGCTGTAATTCCTTAATTAATTTTACACGGTTATAAAATAATTAAAAATTAAAAATTTTGTACTGCCGACATCAATATAAATTATTAAGAATATCTCAAAAACTATTGGTCTGACCTTGATCAAATTCACAATGGACCACACGAGAAGTACCAGATTTCAAATAAAAAAAGAATAATTGAAATCGGTTCACCCAGTAAAAAGTTATGAAGTAACACACATAAAAAAACATACAGTCGGCAGAAAATATAAATTAATTATTACTAGTATCTTGCCTGCTCAATATTCGACCATTTAATTTGATTATGCAATTTGTATGGAAAAAGCATAATATGTATATGTAGGATAATATGTATGTTTTGATATTTTAAATTTTATTCCCATCCATTTTATAACCAATATTTGAAAAAAAAAAACTATTGGTAAATCCAATTTTGTATGCCTTAAGCGCATTAAAAAAATTACGCATAACATGATACGTAAGTTTCTTAAAGTAGTTTAAATACACACAAGTTTTCACTAATAACGTTATTTCCAACCATACTTCCAATTTTCCGATAATTTTATGTTAAACTTCAATTTTTAAAAAAAGTTTACAAAATCCAAAACTGAATGACTCATAATGCTCATATGATCACCATATCATCATTCAGGTCACTCTATAAAGTCCAAGACGTATTTATTTATATTATATTATATTTACTTATAAACACTCCTTACTTTTTGTAAGTAGTAATATTATTATTTATTCTGTGCTTTTAAAATATTGCAATAAAAATCCGCGATTTTAATAATTATCAAGTATGTATCAAATATGGTTTTTCGAATATTTTGTATTTGTACAGCGATCTTTTTGAGTATGAGGCGCTACAAACAACCGATACAGTATCCACTTACTACAGTGGCTGAGCCCGAAGTGAGAGTGGGGCAGTTTATTTAGTAAAATAAATTATTACAAGCCTTAAGGTTATGAAAATTTCTACTTATTATAATTTATTACATCTCTAGCTACATACAACTAAACAGTAGCCATGTAAAATCCATCACTATATTTCGTTATTTCCTTTGGGTGTCGTAGATGGTCTGTTAAATAATTTGAAGAATTTCTTAAGTTCACGCTTCACCATCTTAGGCTACATCTCCACTTACCAGATGGGATTGTAGTAAAGCGCTGCCTTAGAGTAGTAAAAAAATTTTGACTATAGGAAAGAATTATTCAAGACATGGCGGTATTACCATTTCGTTTGCCGTTACCGTTGCAGCCTATCAAAAGTCCACAGTTGAACATGGGCTTCCCCATAGATTGCCTCAAGCAGGATATTTGCCAGTTTCAGCAGACGTAAAATAACTAGAGCTACGTGCAGCTTCAAAGATGCAAGACGTCTAGAACTAGATCTAGTATGGACATTAAGATATATATATTCTTCCCTACAATAGAAGAAGTTATAGTTAAGAAGAAGAAGAACTTTATTTATTTATTTATTTAACAGATACACCATTGGCTTATCACCAGACATTTTAAAATACAACACAATCGGTTTTGTTCAAAATGATTTGCCTTTAAGGGTATATACAACATTCGCAAAAATATTGCAGCTACAATAAGACAATTGTTAACTTACTTAACTAGACCAATATTGTTAATAAATTTACAAGTAATTTGCTTACAATAAAACTAATGAAAAACTTGAAGAAGAGCGAAAGAGTTATTAAATACTTATTACATAATCTAGCAAATTCTGACACGTTATCCGTATGGAAAAACTTTATAAGGAGTTTATAAGTTTTAGTGATATTGTTGAAAGACAAAGCAAGGTATATTA